GATAAAGCTATTTTTCACCCATTTTTGTTTTTTGTCAATATGACATTTTAACTCATTTATGCCTAGTGTTACCTTATTGGAATGGTAAGTTTGTGAGAGTTATTTATATCCTATTGCTGAGGTCATCGCCAAAGTCTGATTTTTCACGAAAGAAATTGCAACTTCCAGCATAAATAGGTTAAGATCAGCATGTCAGATAAATTATTTAGTTTTAAATGAGTTCAAAAACCCAAGTTTACTTTACCTGTGGGGCACATTTACCTGTTGATAGTAACTACTGTTGAAGATAGGTTACAAAATAGTATATAATCATAATTCTTGACTATATTCAAAACCAGATTGTTTATCTTTTCTGAGAATTACTTTTCTACTCACTGAAACAAACTTCTAGAGGATTTTTAAGTTTTTCGTTAGTAGTAAATTTTTGTCTGTAGTTTCAGCAGTGATACATTTAGATAACATATTTTACTGCCAAGAGAAAATATGTTAACCTTTATTATGGTAGAGAGAAAAACTTAGCTTGTTTTTAAAGCAATGGTAAATCCATCTTTGAATGTAGTACGTATTTGTGCTACTGAACTACGTTATGTTTTTTTTTGTGGGATCATTGTTTTGGAATTGATCATGAATTGATTAAATACCTTGCATAATTCCATGCCTTTTATAACATTGCTTTTGCCTTTTCTGGGTATAATACCTAATTAATTTCTTATGGTGTTGAATTTTTTTAATAACAGTAATAATTTTTTACTGCATGTGCAGTAATTTAAAGGGAAGTTTTAACCTCTTGAAAGTAATTTTTCTTATTTAATGACATTTTCAAAAACTAAACATGATTATTTATGGGTTTGTTTTTCATGTCCACAATGTTTTACACTTGGTAAAAGATAATTCATTTATTGTAACTTTTTCTTTTTTTGAGACGGAGTTTTGCTCTTGTCACCCAGGCCAGAGTTCAATGATGCTATCTTGGCTCATTGCAACCTCCACCTCCTGGCTTCAAGCCATTCTCCTGCCTCAGCCTCCCAAGTAGTAGCTTGGATTACAAGCATACACTGCCACTGCCAGATAATTTTTGTAGTTTTGGTGGAGTTGGAGTTTCACAATGTTGGCCAGGCTGGTCTAAACTACTGACCTCAAGTGATCTGACCGCCTCTGCCTCCCAAAGTGCTGCAATTACAGGCGTGAGCCACTGCACCCGGCTGCAACTTTTAAAAGATAAAAAAAATACGTGTCATTACATAGGAACTTTAAAAAATAATCCTTCTAAAAAATATAGGCAGGCCGGGCACGGTGGCTCACGCCAAGGCAGGCAGATCACGAGGTCAAGAGATCGAGACCATCCTGAACAACATGGTGAAACCTCATCTCTACTAATAATACAAAAATTAGCTGGGCATGGCAGAGCACGCCTGTAGTCCCACCCAGCTACTTGGGACGCTGAGGCAGGAGAATTGCTTGAACCTGTGAGGCAGAGGTTGCAGTAAGCCAAGATCACACCCCGGCACTCCAGCCTGGCAACAGAGCAAGACTCTGTCTCAAAAAAAAAAACGGCAATATATTTTAAAATATAATACTTGAAATAAAAATGTAATATAACCAGCATCATAAAATGGAACAAGATTGTCCTTTTGGAGCCTAGAAAATAATTAGGAGTCTTATTTTTGTCACTTTCACTATCCTAATGGTTCAGAAGCAATAAGTAGAAGTACCACAGATTATTATTATTTTATTTATTTATTTTGCTTAAGAACTTAAATTTTTCTTTGGGGCATTTATTTTCATTTTAAAAAATAATCAGACCATAAGTTTCAAAGGTTTGGCTGAAGGATAATATTCTGCAGAAAATCAATATGGCATACCTACAAACCAAGCACCGTACACACACACATACACACACACGTGTGCGCACACGTGTGTGTGTATATATATGTATTTGTAATACTTGTTTTCTACTTTATTTCTTTATATAAAAGATAGGATCTTATTAAATTCATTGGCCTATTTAATATTAAATATGTTTTAAAATGGAGGAGAAAAATAGCCATTGAACTGAGAAAAAGGGGCCCCTCATTTTCTCTTGAATTTGATTTATTCCAAACAACACAAACTTGAGGGTAGACTGCTGATACTGAGAATGTTTCTTCTCATTTCCTTACTCAGTCTATTCCCTTCTCTCTTAAAACATGCACGCACGCACGCACGCACGCACGCACGCACGCACTGATCTCCCTCTCCCCTGGCCCATCCATATCCTGGGACACAGATGTTTGGAAACTGCTCATACATCACACAGAATGATCATTTTCAAGTCAGGAGCTGCCTCTCAGATTCTGAGTGATACAGCTCTCTCCAGTTGCTGAAACAAGTGAAAAAGCACATAAGTGGAATGTTCTTTTGAAAATTCAGTGTATTGTTCCAAGAAATATATACATTGTTGCATCTGGATAATACACACTGAAGAAACGAGCAATAGCTTCTAATAAACCTAATTTGGAACAATGTGCAAGCTCCTTTATAAAATTATTTATATTATAGAAAATTTGGAAAGTATAGAAAGCTATGAGGAGGAAAATAATCCCCAAAATGACAATTAAAGATAAATTTGGAGTAGTTTAGTGTACCATAGTGGTTAAGGGAAAGCAATCCAGGAGCCAGCTAAAGCATGAATTCTGGCTCTACCACTTTGTGACTTTGGGCAAGTTACTCACTTAACGTGTGTCTCCATTTTCTCATCTGTAAAATAGGCAAAATAATATAATTTGCTTCTTAGGTTGTATATTTTAGAACTCTGTTTCCATAGGAAATTACTGTTAGAATTTTTCTTTTTCTTCTTTTCTTTTTTTAAATGCTTGTTGACAATCCTTTAGAGTTCTACTGGATTTTGGTGTGCTTCTGTTAGTTGTAAGGAAATAATGGAAATTTAAATGACGTCAACTGCCCGCAGTAGTATTTTGAATTACATAGTACATATATATGTCTTTGTATCAGTGGTATGCCAAAGAGTGATTGTACCATAAGATCTATGGTTTTTCTAAATAGATTTTATAAAAACGGTAGCCCATAGTTGAAAATGTTCTTTAAAATGAAGGCAAAAACAAATGCCTAATGATCGTTATTTCTACTGAAACTGAGTGTTATCTGTATTATATGAGAAAAATGGGCTTCTGTGTTAGTTGTGACAGTACAGTAGCTTAATAGGAAATCCATAAGCCTAATAGATAAGTATTTGTGTGTGTGTTTATGTATATCTATAATTATGTGTATATATGTAAAAATATATATATGTGTATATAAATAAATATATATTTAAAACCACTGAAGAAAATGAGTTTGTTTAAATTCCGTTTTTAAGTGAGGAATTCCAATATCACAGGCATGTCCTTGGCTCATGAGCACATTAAGAGGTAGTATCCAGTAATATCCAACACTATACCAAAATACTTTTCGTTGCTTTTCATTGTTTATTAATGAATTTTTGTAGAAATAGAAGTGTTGCTTTTGTTCTTGTAGTGTAATCTTTTTCATATGATGAAGTGAAAGTAGGAAAGGATTTCCTTGTATTTTCCCATTTGTATTTTGCTTATTTTTCTTTGACCTGTGGTCTTACTCACATGAAAGCTTGAATTTCTCAACTCAGTATCAGGAGACTGATACTTGATTTTGCCTACTCCTTATAATAGTTCCTCCTAGCCAATTGCCATTCCAGGAAAAAAAAAATGCAGTCTACTAAGTCATCTTAGTGGGAAGAGCAAAGTAAAACTCTAATGCTTAACCAGAAGTTTTAAAAATATTTTGTGGCCATCAGAAATGTTACTTATTTGACATGGCCCTTTCTAAACACTTGTAAGTACTTTGCTAACTATATAAATTAATGCTTCTTTATCAGAGAGCAGAAGTGTGTATGTTATGTGTGTCTGTGTATTGTGCTGGCATCCCGTCTTTATAAAAATGAAATTAAATAAAATTTTAATGGCATTTCTGAATAAGTGGGTGACTTTGGTGTTTGTCATTCAGACTATAAACAATGGTTTCCTTTTAAAATATGAATTCTAAAAAGAATGCAGTGGGAAGACCCACATATCAGAATGCCAATCTTGTTTATGGGGAAACCTGAAAAGACACTGTTTATGATTAGAAGAAGCTGAGTTTATATGATCATCTGGTGTTCAAAAGAGGAAACACACTAACAGCATGGTGTAACCTAAGTTAGTTTGCTTTGAGATGTGTTTTCTGCTTGGAAGAGGAGAATATGGGTATTAACAGGGTGGCTTGTTCATTAATTTATTTGATAAGGAATAAAATTGATGTGCAAGTTTTTTGTTTTTTGTGTTTTTGAGATGGAGTTTTGCTCTTGTCACGCTGAAATGCAATAGTACGATCTTGGCTCACGTTAACCTCCTTCTCCCAGGTTCAAGCAATTCTTCTGCCTCAGCCTCCCAAGTAGCTGAGATTACAGGTGCCCCCTCCCCCCTCCCACACACACCTGGCTAATTTTTGTATTTTTAGTAGAGACAGGGTTTCACCATGTTGGCCAGGCTGGTTTTAATCTCCTCACCTCAGGTGATCCACCTGCCTCAGTCTCCCAAAGTGCTGGGATTACAGGCCTGAGTCACCGCACCTGGATGTAATTTTTAATTATATACTGCTAGCTTATTTTTGTGCCCATTGGTTTTCAAAAAGATTATGCATTTATGGTTTCAGGATTTCTTAATGGCTAGCATACTGAATTGTATACCTGTAGCAAAGTCAGAATCCCATAATATTACTTTTTTATGGGATGGGGGGGGGGAGAAATACATTATCTGCATTCTTCAAAATTCAGAAAGTGTATTATTTGGTTGATTCATAACTAGGAAAGAAAAATCTCACAGCCTTTTAGAAACATAGTATTTGTTGATATTGAATTTTGAAACTATCATAGATGTAGCTTCCAGGAGTTCACTTATCCCTGTTTTCAGACCATTTATTTATTCAACAGATACTTAGTAAGCACTCACTGTGTGGCAGGCAGTATACTTAGCATTGCAGATACAGCAGCTAGCAAGGCAGGTATAGTCTCTGCCACCACTCAGATTCTGAGTGATACAGTTCTCTTCAGTTGCTGAAACAAATGAAAAAAGCACATAAGTGGAATGTCCTTTTGAAAATTCAGTATATTGTTCCAATAATATATACATGGTAAGGCTACGGTGGTAGCAGGGACTTTTGTCTTATATCCCACTTATTCCCAGAGTTTAGGAAAATGCCTGACATTAGTCAGTACTTAACATTATGCCTGACATTAGTCAGTACTTAAATGATGGATAGATGGATGAATATATTTCACTCATCAAACCTTTTTTAAAGTATTTAGACTTAGGAGGACTTTAGCTTAACTTAAGGACAGGGATATCTATTTTCTGACGCCAGAGCCTAGCACTGTGTATGTTAGTGCTGAAATAAGAACATTAAGGAATTCATCTCCATCTTGTGCAGTTTCAAGTTACTTACTGAAGCCAATAGAATTAAATGCCAAGGAAAGATAGTCCTTTCATCATTTACCCAGTTAGGACCTACTTCTACAGGTGGGATCATGGTCAGTAGAATTTGCTTCTCAGAGTAATTTCTACTTAACCTTCAATGTCTATGAACCTAAAGCCATGGGCTGTGGTGCCATGGCCAAGGAAACACAGCTTTTGGGATAGAGACTGAAGTGACTAATAAAATTTTAATCTTCACCTGCAGCATGAGTGAGTTTTCCAAGAAGCTGGAGAAGCACGAGTAAATGCTGCACTATTTAGCCATGAGCTCAAGCTAGAAAGTGGCTGAAATCCATGAGTATGCAGCGAATTGGCTTATTGGCTAGGAATAGCCTCTTCGAGTTTGATGGAGTTTTGAACTGATCCACTAGATCACACAATTTGACCACTCAGCTCAGTACCAAGCTTGTTCATTTTGGATAGGTGAGGCCACTTTAGCCATTTTATTTCTACAAATAATCACTATGTTATAATTATTTGGTTTTACGTTTCTCCCCTGTACAAAGAGTTGGGTAGGGTTGTCTTGACTAATCCATCTTATGTGGTCCTTACCTAGCACTAAACTTAATAAATGTTTGTATTAGGTTGAACTACATAAAAATGCTGTGTTTTTAAGTCAAAAAATAGTCAAATACCAGCATTAAACAAATGAATAGTAAGAAAAATTCAAGCAGTGAATGAGTTGTTGGACTAGATGATTTTAAAGATCTCCTCCAGTACTGGGATTCCATAACCTTATAATTCAAACATAAATAACATCAATCAATTCCAATACTTAGTTACCAACTTATTAAACCATGATCCTCATATTATACACAAACATAGCACCCTGTTCTTGTCCTTCTTGGAACTTATCACAATGATTTAGCTAATTTTTATACTAAATGATTATGTGTTCCTCATCTTAATGTGTATAATAATATGTATCTAATATGTAAGATATATAATACATATATATGTAAATATAAATGTGTAGATAGATGAAAGATACAGTGTATATGTTTCCATCAGCTATTTGTTAAAAGGTAGATGATAGATTAATACTGTGTTGTTTCATTTCTCTTCTGTTCCACTGCTTTAAAGTGGCAGGTGGAGTCCACTATGAATTTTTTCATTGATCAGCTCTGACCTGCTAACCTCAGCAACTGAGCACCTGCATAATGTGTTAGGTCATCATATTAATAATGAAGATTACATAGTTGATCTGCCTTTTTATGGGGACAATATATAAATAAAACCCTAGAAATATGACTGATTTTAAAACAAACTAAAGTGATGACTGAGAACAGTAATGCCATCTATAATTTCATTGCATCTAGTAGAAAATTAGTTTTGCAAAGCTACTCAATATATAAAATTGTTTTAATTATTTATTTTTAAAATGAAGTTCTCAGATTTAATCTCAATACGAAATCTCTTGATTACAGCAAAGCAGATTTTTATCTGTCAGTAAGTTAAAAAAAATGAGGGGGAAAAGCAAGCATCAACTTCCAGGGGTCTAATAACTTCCTAACTTCATGGGACTTGCCTAACAGTAGGTGGACATTTCATTTTAAAACTTTGCCCTTAGTAGTCAACACTACCCTCAACACAGCTACAGACTATATAACATAGAGTCTGCATAATACAAGGCATTTCTGTATGAGTAAAATATTAAATATTTTTTAAAATAATTTTTAAGAAATGAAGTTCTGGCTTAAGACCTGAATAAAGGGTTTTAGGGAAATAAAAACTTTGTTCTTTTTCTAAATTTTAGACTTTTCCATTATGGTAAGTTACATTGATCTGTTTAATAAAGTAGTTTATGATAGTAATGTATATGTGCTAACAGACTTCTATCTCTGCATCAGCTGTAAGATTTACCTGGTTTTTGTACTCTAAAGAGTTTATATTTAAATTCAACATAATAACTTTCAAAATAAAAATCTCTGAACTTAGTTTTATTTTAGACTGCTTATGACAAAATCACTTCTTAAAGTGCACAGATGCACACATCCGCCCTCCCATCCTTTGTGATAGAAAAAATGAATTACTTAGCTTGGTAAATCACATTGCTTCTCCTGAAGTAGACTGCCTGCACCCAGTGCTGTGAAAGAAAGCCGAGTGAGTGAGTAAGGAAGGGTGGCTATTGTTTAGTACTCTATAGCAAAAGAACGGGATTGGGGGTGGGGTGGGGTTGGGGCCAGGATTTAGTTTAACTGGCATTGGCTCTTGCTTTTCTGCATTCCAAACCGTCTGAGGCACGGAGTGAGAGCAAAAAGGGAGAGAGCAGGAAAGCGAGCACAGGCGAGTACAGTATACAAAGTGTTTTGAGTTTCTGACTGGCTTGCTGAAAAGATCATGTTAGCTCTCCCAGAAACTTCACAGGATGCAGACCCCAGGTAAGAGTTCCTAGAGTGTGAGACTGAAATGAAAAGTCATGTATTTAAGGGGAATGTGTGTTTTTTTAAATTACACAAATACAATGACTATTTACCTTTATGATTATTGGCTTTAAAAAAAATAGTTTGGTTTTTATTACTGTGAGTTCACAGAAATACTTTGTGGAAGCTATCTGTTAGCATTCCAGTAGAAAATCCAGCACAAGAATAACCATCTGAGAAACTCAGATTAATTAAAAGAATAAGGACCATACCAAAATTATTAACACTGCAGCATTTACTTGTTCTGTCAATAATATGAAATGGATCCTTATTCTGGATCTTTCCTGAAATTCTTTATGAAATATAAAGACACCTGGGAACAGGTAAAGCTCATTTCTCTCTGAGTGAGATGGAGTATATTGACCATAAACAAGATGTTAACAGCCTTGCTTGAATCTCAGTAACACATAATCTGTGTCTTTCAAAAGTTCAACAAGTTTGATCCATAGACAACAGTAAGAGCATTCAAATGAGAACTTTGCTTGTTATTTTTGCCCAAGGTAGGCTTTTAATATCCTCTGCCAAGATGACAAGTAAGAAAATTTATTGACTTATTGAAAGTTAAATCTGAAAGAGACTTGGAGATGATCTAGTCTAGTCTCTCCATTTTCAATGAAAATTTCGTGGTCTAAGGTACTTGCCCAAGGTCAGAATTAGGAACAGAATTGAAATGAAAACCTAGATCTCCTTATTCTCTGTTTAACATGTTTTTCATAGAACCAATTATATTTAGGGTTATATCTTATCTATACTACATCTGCTAGCCCCAACTACAATGAATTATTGCCTAAATAGACCATGTCCATCATAAACCTAGATTGAAATCATATGGGGAGGAGATACTGAGGAATGGATGTTATCAAATCACTATTGATACATGCTCTTGACCAAAACCAAAAATATATAACAAAATATTTATCAAGAGGAGAAAATGGCTTTTAGTGAAGGAAAATGATTATAGTTTCTATGCTGCTTTTATGTAAAGAATTACATGGCTGTGGCATGTAATTCTGAATTACAAAACTCTTTCAAATTGATTTTAACTTTTTTTTTTTTTTTTTTTTTTTTGAGACGGAGTTTCACTCTTGTTACCCAGGCTGGAGTGCAATGGCACGATCTCGGCTCACCGCAGCCTCCGCCTCCTGGGTTCAGGCAATTCTCCTGCCTCAGCCTCCTGAGTAGCTGGGATTACAGGCACGCACCACCATGCCCAGCTAATTTTTTTTGTATTTTTATTAGAGACGGGGTTTCACCATGTTGACCAGGATGGTCTCGATCTCTTGACCTCGTGATCCACCCGCCTCGGCCTCCCAAAGTGCTGGGATTACAGGCTTGAGCCACCGCGCCCGGCCTTGATTTTAACTTTTAAAAGACGTTAGAACTTATCAGTTTTCTGTATAAATATATTAGTAAATATTTTTCTGTATGCAAATATCTATTTTTGTAATGTATCTATTTTACTGAAAGCAAATTATATTCACTGCCTTTCTTAAATTTACTCAAAGAAAAATATAAGGTAACTTTTTTTAATTATCTAGCTATTTTGACCAATTGTTTTCTTATCCAAGTTCCAGTTCTGTTTCTCTCTGCTTTATTATAAGGATCCTCTGTCACTTCACCTCGTGAATTATGTGTTAGAGGATAATTTAAGTGAAGGATCTTGAGAGCCGCAACAGACAGTGAACATCTGTCTTCATACATTTTCATTTAGTTCCTAAAAAAGGTTGCTGCTCTTTCCATTTTTCTGGAGACCATTGTGGGGATGAGAGGCCACACTATTCTAGTGAGCTAAATAGTAAAGATAGCCACTGTCAACAGAATCTGTTATGGCTCTTTACAACTCCTGGGAACAAGTTAGCTTGATTTGGCTATAAGCACAGTAAAAGGATGTTGTCCTTTTGTATTAAAGCCTGACCTGCTCATTCCAGTTTTTCGCTGGATCTGTGTAAATGCAGTACTGATTTACAAGTCTGTGTGGGATGGGCAGTAAGTTGTAAGAAATAGTTTCATTACTCCTCTCAGCTATATCAGAAACCAAATTACAAAGTGAATTCTCCACCCACTGGCAAAGAAGAGACTGTTTGTCTTACTGGAGAATCCATTATTGAATCACATTGTTTTTAAGAGGACTGATGGCTGTGAGAATGAGAGCATAATGCTCTGTCCAACTTAACAGTATTACACAAAGTGTAGATTCTTCTCTCAGCTTTTATCCTGCTTGGAATATGTGAAAGGACTGCCATGATATATCTATCTATATTATGTTGTGTGTATATTATATGATAGAAAGAATGAGAGAGTAAAATGGGCCTTTGGCCTGAGTATGTTTCCTGATGCCAGAAGTAATGAGAAGTCATTAATCTATTGCTGGTATTTTGCTAAGTTAAAAGAAACTGTTTTATTAACCAAGCTAATCATTGTAAAACTCACTACCATGCACTACAAAGAGAAAAATACTCAAAAGAAACACACTTCTTTTTTTCTTCTGAAAACAAATGTCAGATTATGCAAGTTCATTCTTTCCATGTTAGAAAAAGACAACAAAAAGGTGCCCACTTTGTGACTAAAGACAAATTTTATTTTTAAACAAGTTTTTATTGATGTATAATACATGTGTATAGTTATGGGGTTCATGCGATAATTTAATATGCTTATACAATTTGTAAAGATCCAATCAGTGTACTTGGGATACCCATCATCTTAAATAAAGACAAATTTTAACTGGGAATAGAATGGGTAGAGTGAAATGAGTGACATGGAAAAGAAACTCTCCTATGTATGTGAAGTAATTTTTTTTTTGACCAGTGTTTTCTTGAAGGCAGACCTATTTTCACTATTCATGATTTTCTCCTTGATACTGTTTTAAAATTTTTTTCCCATGAACAATCTATATATAAACATCATTTGTGTATTAAATTTTCAAAGAAGGTAAAGAGCTCTGCTGTATAGCAACAATATTTTCTGAAAAAGATTTGGCTATAGTTGATCAAAACTTTTGACTCATTGAAAGGAGCTTCTCTCTTTGTTGTTGCAGTTTCTTTCTCTTGGGCATAATTCTATGTTATGTATACCAGTTAAATTCCAAGAATTAAATATCTTCAAACAAAAATGAAGGCAAAAGATAGGGGCCAAGGCAGGGACTTGAAGCTGGACATGTAAATTGTTCTGAGCTGTCAAATTAATTCTTTACTCATGAAAGTTACCCAGTTATCCACCCAGGACTCTGAGAATCCTTTTATGTAGACAACATGCTTGTGTTTCCCCTTCTGCTCCAGTCTTGACCTTCAGCAGTCTCTAAAGAGGAAAAGTGTTTGTTACACTTTTTGTTCTCTTCTGTTCTTTCATGCTCCCTAGTGGTTGTTCATTGTTGTTCTTGTTTTCACTTCCCTGTATATCAGTTTTAGTGAGAAGCAGGTGACTATTGTATTGTGAAATAAGGTTCACTGGATTCTTACATTTGAGTTGCATAAGCTTTCTTAAAATATGTGATTCTTATGTGCAGAAACAGAAGCAAAAATTTTTGTCCTGTTGTTCCTAGTGAACAATGATTCAAGAAAATGAGTCATGACTCAGCGATATGAATTCTCTTTTAGCTGTGGTTATTTTTAAGTGCTGATGGGAATTCCATCTATCAAAATTCCACATTTAATTCTGGGTATGATCTCAGCTTGTGTTTGGAAGCCTTAAGCATTGCCACTCAGAATACTTTCTTTGTACATACTTGACAAGTAAGAGAGACTTACTGAGTCAGTGATTAAAATTCAGATGAAGGCCTTTGTCCTCTCTGGTACCCTTCTTGCCCCTACTCAAACTGTGTCATTAAGCTGAATTGTAACTATTATTAACTCAGGCGCATGAAGAGGGAACCAATGAGGAGATCCTGTTAACAATATGATCCTGTTAATAATATGACTCTATAGAACTCCATATTTTGTCATTCTCAAGTTTGCAGTATTTTTTGAGTAAATGAGTTGCTGAAAAGCACCTTGAAAAATTACTTTAGGTTTGTGCAGCCCTGTTTTTTGAAGAAGAAAAGATTTATGGTACTGCTCGCTCTTTATAATGTCAGATCTTGGAAAGTAAGCAACTTGAGCTGCTGGAATAAAGCAGGTGTGGTTCAGGATTAAGTGTTGCCTAGGACAGCCAGCGTGTTGAACAGGTTGCTGACTGATGTCCTGAATCCAATTCCAGAGATTACAGGGTAACTTGAAAAATGTAATAACCCCACTGTTGTGTAACTATTCATAAATACTACTTTTAGTTTATATGAAGATTAGTAAAACTGGGTATTCTTTCCATTTTTAAGATTCTGGTGTGTAACTTTTTACTAAAATACTTCAAATGGGTTGTGTGTGCCTCTTGAGTCAGATAGGAGAAGGTAAAATGTCTGGGTCCCTACTTCAGTCGCTCTTCCTTCCAGGAATACCTGAAATATGAAGTTTCTGGTAAATAAGTGAAATGAAATAAAAAAGAGAAGTGATTTGTCAAAATGAGTGCAAGAAGAACCACAAAAAATCTAGCTTGTGTGAGTACATAGAATTGAGTTTGTTTAGTCAAAGGACAAGGGAAGATGTGGAAGTCTATTAACAGGGAAGGATCATCATCTCCTGTATACCAATAGCTCATTTCTAAGAGTTTGCCGAGTATGGTTATAGAATATTTCTTATCAGT